TTTCAGCTCGAGTTAGGTAACCGCTTCCAGTGCCTAGAAGATTGCAATGCAGTGGACGATATGAACGACAAGCTCGTGGAAACTGTCCATGCGGTCGGAGCTAAGTTCTGCAAGACCCGCCGCAGAAGAACACAAAAACTCTCCGATCACACTCTTAATCTCATGGCTGTTAGACGGGAGATGAGGCTGCAATCGTCAACAGATTTGACAGCATACAGGCAACTGAACAGACAGATCTCCAAATGCATGCGGCGAGACTTACGCAACTTTAATACTTCTCGTATTAAAGAAGCGATCGAGCGGAACCAGGGCTCCAAAGTCTTTGCCAGAGATCTGTCTGCCAGAAAGAGCCAACTGTCAAAGCTGAAGACCGAGTGTGGCAACATCGTTTCCGGGACACCTGAGATTTTGAGTGAGATTGAGAGGTTCTATGGGCAGCTGTACACATCATCGTTGGAGCCACACGTAAGTGTGAGTAACGATCCAAGAGCAAGTCTTATCCGACACTATTCCGATGATATCCCGGACGTCAGTCTGAGCGAGATTAGAATGGCTCTCCACCACCTTAAAAACGGCAAGGCCCCGGGCGAGGATGGAATTACAGCGGAGCTTTTGAAAGCGGGTGGAAAACCGGTACTTGAAGTCCTTCGGAAGCTCTTCAATTCCGTCCTCCATGGTGGCACTACTCCGGAGGCGTGGAGCAGAAGCGCGGTGGTTTTGTTCTTTAAGAAAGGCGACAACGCTCTCTTGAAGAACTACAGACCGATTTCCCTTCTGAGCCGCGTCTACATGCTATTTTCGAGAGTCATTACGAATCGTCTCGCACGCAGACTCGACGACTTCCAGCCTCCCGAACAAGCCGGTTTCCGAAAAGGCTTCAGTACCATAGACCACATACATACCCTGCGGCAGATTGTACAGAAGACCGAAGAGTACAATCTGCCACTTTGCCTGGCATATGTGGACTATGAGAAAGCCTTTAATTCCGTCGAAATTTGGGCGGTGCTACAGTCCCTTCAGCGGTGCCAAGTTGACTGTCGGTACATCGAAGTGCTGAAGTGTTTGTACAGTAGGGCTACGATGGCTATCCGAGTACAGAACCAGAGTTCGAAACCTATCCAACTGCAGAGAGGTGTAAGACAGGGTGATGTTATATCCCCGAAACTCTTCACCGCTGCGTTGGAAGACGTTTTCAAGCTACTGGACTGGAAAGGATACAGTATTAACATCAATGGCGAGTACATCACTCACCTTCGATTTGCCGACGATATAGTCATTATGGCAGAATCGCTGGAGGACTTAAGCATTATGCTCAATGACCTCAATAGTGCCTCCCAACGGATAGGTCTTAAGATGAACATGGACAAAACAAAGATCATGTTTAATGTCCATGTCACACCTATGCCGGTAGTTGTTGGGAGCACTATGCTCGAAGTTGTTGACGAGTACGTTTACCTGGGACAAATAGTCCGACTAGGTAAGTCCAACTTCGACCGAGAGGTCAATCGACGGATTCAACTCGGCTGGGCAGCGTTCGGGAAATTACGACATATCTTATCGTCAGGTATACCTATATCTATAAAAACTAGATTGTACAACCAGTGCGTGTTGCCAGTGATGACTTACGGATCTGAGACGTGGTCCTTCACTGCTGGCCGTATGAGGACGCTTAAGGTCGCTCAGCGAGCTATGGAGAGGGCTATGCTTGGAGTTTCTCTGCGTGATAGACTCAGAAATGAGGATATCCGCAGTAAAACCAGAGTGATCGACATAGCCCAACGGATTAGTAAGCTGAAGTGGCAATGGGCCGGCCATATAGCTCGAAGAACCGATAACCGATGGGGAAGAAAGGTTCTCGAGTGGCAGCCTCGTACCGGTAGGCGTAGTGTAGGGTAGGCGCCCCACTAGATGGAGTGACGACCTGGTAAGACATGCAGGAAGTCGATGGATACAGGTGGCTCAGGACCGTGCTTTGTGGCATTACTTGGGGGAGGCCTATGTTCAGCAGTGGACTTGTGAAGGGCTGTAATGATGATGATGAAATGAATTGACTTGACTGAATAAGTTAATAAATCGATTTCACAATCGATTATCAATATTTAATACAGGTCACTAAGCGGAAATCATGTCAATGTTAATTAATTAAAAAACTCAAACGTCAATCAAATCATTTACTTCGTTCGTTTGGCTCTGAGCTTACGGCGGTAGTGAATATTTTCTGTTGTTTTCATGTGCTGTAATAATATTGTGATCTTTAACGACTCTGGCTACTTATAAAGGATTCTGACTGTTATTACTTTGACGAACCACCCACGCATTTCTTACAACGGACTTAGTTATCTTGACTACTCGACTTATCTCAGCTTCATATAACGGATTTCGAATTAAAATAAAATGACTGATCAACATCATTGTATCAACTGCGGCATAGCTACTTGGCGGCGTAATCCTTCTATAGGATTACATAAAATAGAAGAAATAGAAATAGAAACATTTTTATTCAATGTAGATTATAAAAATACTTATTGAAAATCACTTTTTATAATTCACCACTGGTTCGCAAAAAAAAACCTCTGTCCCGGGAAGAACCAGCAAGAAACCCAGCGGGACTATTTTTTTTAATAATAGCTTACAATCAACAACAAAAGACAAATTAGAAATAGCTTGGTAGCGATCACCCTTCCCAGGGGTTATTATCATCTATAAATTCCTTAATATTATAATAACTCTTTTTATACAAACTTAGTTTAATAACATTTTTGAACTTTGTGTATGACAAATTTTGTATATTTTCTGGGATTTTGTTGTAAAAGCGTATACATCGCCCCAAGAATGAATTACTGACTCGGTGGAGTCGAGTAACTGGTACTACCAGCTTGTGTCTGCTCCTAGTATTTACAGAATGAATATCACTTATTTTCGCAAAACTACTTTTATTTTTGTGTACGTACATTACATTTTCATAAATGTATTGAGAGGCTAGAGTTAATATATTAATTTCCTTAAATTTCTGTCTCAGTGACTCTTTTGGTTTTAAATTATATATTGCTCTAATGGCCCTCTTCTGTAAAATAAATATAATTTCAGTGTCAGTCGCGTGACCCCATAGCAAAATACCATACGACATAATGCTATGGAAATAACTAAAGTAAACTATTCTAGCTGTTTCAACACTTGTAAGAGTTCTAATCTTTTTTACAGCATATGCTGCAGAACTAAGTCTGCTAGCTAGTTTTGATATATGGGGGAGCCATTGAAGCTTTGCGTCCAGTGTAATTCCAAGAAAAATGGTGGTATCAACAAGACTCAGTTCCTCCCCATTTAAAATTACATTAGTATTGACATGTTTAACATTAGGAGTTACGAATTTCATACATTTAGTTTTAGTTCCATTCAAATGCAAATTATTAACATTAAACCAATTGACTTAGCTATAACATTATTTACTTCGTCGTAATTTAACTTGAAATAAATGTAAATTTAATTTGAAAATTAATGAAGTATCATCAGCAAATAATACTAAATCATGGTTATCCCCTACTATGTAAGGTAAGTCATTAATATATACAAGAAACAGAAATGGGGCCGAGAATTGAGCCCTGAGGCACGCTCATTTGTACAATCGACCCGGAAGAACTCATACTATTAATAACAACTTTTTGTGTTCTGTCACTTAAATATAAAATAATTAATTTAAGAGCATCATTTCTTACACCGTAGTGTTGAAGTTTCCTGATTAATGTTTCATGGTGAACACAATCGTAAACCAGTGCAACAACTGGACATCGTCAAAGACGAAAGCATTCTTTCAGTGATACAGCAATGGGTTGCACCTCAAGTGGTAAGTATAGTTTATTTTATTACAACTTCACATTTTGCTGGACCGTACTTCATTTTTATTCTTAAATCACTATATTAACTCTATGATTGAAATAATACATTTAACACAAGATTTACTGGACGGTTTGGTCGTCAATTAATGGCATTTATTTCATAAAGCTCTTTTAGTAAAAATACTATATGACGCCACAACATGTTAACGTAGTTCTTTTCGTATTAAAAACAGAGTTATAAAAAATTTAGCAATTTAATTAAGCAACAATAGGATAATTTACACTGTATTAAATATATAATCTTAATGTAATCTCAATACCGGCAAGAAATAATAAGAACACATAGGATTCAGAAAGCCACTCTGAAAATGAGTTCGGCTGGCATTGGTTTTTTAAACACTGTCCTCCTCTCACTGTTGTCTGTATCTAGCCAGTACTTTGTGCAACGAATAATTCTAGCTAAGTCTCACTTACTTCCTTGTATCTATATTATTTCTTGCCGAGCACTATAAGTAACAAACTAATATTGTTGTAGGTCAACAGTTCTCATCGCATTTGCCAAGAATGCAGGACTTTATTAATGCATTCTTTGGACATAGATGAGCATCTTTCATGTGCAACAACTGGACATCGTCAAGTGTGTGTCAACTGTGGACGTTCAGTATTGCGTGCCAGATCTCATTTATTGCATACTGGCACTGAACGAGAAAGAAGGATTTATACAGTCATTTGTGAATGGCTTTTGCCTCGTACTGTAAGTGTTAATTGGGATCAGTTGCTTTTTGTTTTTTATATTATAGTATGGTAATGCATAGAAGCCCGAAAGTCTGACAACCAGCCTTACCTAGGGGTACCAATGTAAAATACTGGTATTCAGTTGCATCTAGATAGACTAAACGTCAACCTTGGGGTCAAATTCCGTAGTTGGGGAAAGACTAGGCAGATGATAATGGTAATGTATAGTCAGTATTAATAAATACAAATGTTCACTTTGACCATGGTTACAATGTTTTATATACAACACAACATAACATCGTGCCTGTATTCCCCCAAGAGATAAGGCAGAGAAGTGCAGTACACCCGCATTTCGCCAGTTATATTCTTTCTCAGACAAAGGTTTGTTATTATAAAGTTATTGTTTCAGATTTCAAGAAACAGAGCTCTCATATGTCACAGTTGTATGAAACAAGTGAACAAGAGGAATTGACTTTGCAGTCTACTTCAAAGGATACTTTGCAGTCTACTTCACAGGCTACTTCGCAGTCTACTTCACAGGATACTTTGCAGTCTACTTCACAGGCTACTTTGCAGTCTACTTCACAGGCTACTTTGCAGTCTACTTCACAGGATACTTTGCAGTCTACTTCACAGGATACTTTGCAGTGTACTTCACAGGCTACTTCAGAAGCTACACCCAGGCTGAGTGAAGCTATAGTGTTACCTGACTATGTAAGAGCAGTAGAAACTGAATCTCGCTGTTTTATTGAAGGTTGTCGGAGACAAGAGAGGTATAGAGTTCCTGTTACAACTAGGAAAATGTTGTTAGATGTCTGTAACTTCTATATCCCTAAAAACAATAGATTATGCAACCACCACATTAATACGCAATCTTGGGATTTTCTTACTGGCGCTTTAGAAAATTATGTTAATGTGTTTACAGCATTGCATATTCAAAACATGCTAGAATTAAAAAGTTACTCAAATGTTGGCCTTGATTTTATCAATATTCTTAATATGGAAGACCGTTTAGTGCACCATTGGTTAGGCTTTACGAAAGAGCAGTATCAAAGGATTTTAGATGAAGTGCCACAATTGCTGCAAAAGTCATCGGGCCCTATTGCGTTAACAGCATATTTGATAAAGCTGAGAACCGGTGATTCTAACTAGAGAATATCAGCTCTGTTTGACATTCCTAAATGAACTCTTGATGGATATGTGTCTGAAGCTCGTCACTTACTATATAAATATTTTGTACCTAGGCATTTAGGACTTAACCATATAAATCGTCAGCAAATTGTTGACTGAACCTTGTTGATACCACGCGGTTTATTTGGAAACTATAACGGGGAAAATAAACCTGTAATAATAATTGATCGAACGTATTGCTCTATAGAAAAAAGTTCAAATTATTTGTACCAAAAAAGAACTTATAGTTTGCATAAGTATCAAACAAATCTCAATCAACTAAATCAGACATTATGGCTTCAAAAGTTAAGTCTTCAAACAGTAGGCCAAAAGTGAAGGATAAATCTATTAAAGAGGAATATCCTCAATTCAGGAAAAAAAATCTACAGAAATATTGCCTAAAGGTAACAATAAAACTGGACGTGAATCTAGTTCAGAGGAGAGACTTAGGTCTCCAAAGGCTTCGAGTACTGAAGATCAACAAACACCTCTAAAGTACTTGGTAAAGCCATTAATGATTGTATGTGCAGACGGTCATATTCTTGATGTAATGGGCCCCTATCCTGCTACCACATCAGATGCAGATATCATTAATCATGAGTTTCGTGATCCTAGTTCAATGCTACGTGAATACTTTCAGGCTGGTGATGCATTCATTTTAGATAGGGGCTTCAGAGATTCATTGCCGTTATTACATGAATGTGGTTATAGAACTTACGTCCCACCAACATTGCAGGCGGGTGAATGGCAGCATTCCACAATAGAGGCCAAATAAATCGAGAACAGTGATCATATGTAGATGGGTTGTTGAAGTAGTTAACGGAAGATTTTAAAGAGATTTTAAATTATTTAGACGAGACTATTTTAATACTGCTTCGAAGCATTTAATGATAGATTTTGAGGTTGCTGCCGCTCAACTAAATGCTTTTCACCCTCCTATTACAAATTGTGTTGATGCTGGCGATATTTTACAAATAATCAATGAGGCTGTTACGTGATTGAAAATAATATAAACCGACGTAGAGCAGATTTTACAAGAATTCATGTGCAAAATGATGACTTAAATGACTTTCCCCAGGTCACACATAGTCATTTAATAAAGATATATTTGGGTATTTATCAAATTAAGCCTAGCCTATTTGTGCCTGGTTCTATTATGGAGAACACATACGACAAAATGGGAGATATAAAATAGAAGTGTGTCGAGAAACGGACAGCAACCTACTAAGAGAACTGTCAATATTCAATCCTTCTAGCTGGCTATTAAGAGGTCGAATAAAATCTAGACATGTAGGCTCAAAAATATATTTTACATATATTTTAGTTGAGAGTTCTCTTAATGGTATAGAGGCCATCAAGCAATATTATTGTAATTGCTTTGTAGGAAATAGAACTGTAGGTTGCTGTTGTCATGTAATGTCCATAATATGGTACCTAAGCTGGGCAAAGCATCAAGTGAAGTTAATACCGCCTGCACAGTTTTTAGACGATATTTTAATTGTTTTTGATGAAGTTGACGATGAATAAATCATTGAAAGCGAACGTGTTTTTAATTCATACTCCCTCAGCTTTTTTATAATTATTTCAAACCTCTAGAATTTAATCGGACGGGGTCTGAATCCTCCTGATATTATGGTAAAGTCTAGTTTACAATTAAGTATAATAATTCATTTCGTAATTTAATGAGAGAGCTAGGTGTAAGAATAATATTGTAAGCATAACACAAGCAACAACATTATTCAAATACAAACAAATAACATCCTATTTTTTTTCTACCATGAAGCAGTCGTAAATATTTTAGTTTTTTTTTTAAACGGTATTAGTATATAAATAAAATAATGCAGTAATCGATACTGTAACATCAGGCCCAGCTTTCTATGAACTTTCGCCCGTCTCCTTTTCAGTGCCGCCCTCGTAATAGACATTTTGAATATTTTGCAAAATTCTACCAATCACGGAACGGGTGGCTTGTGCCACAGGCGTTGCAAAAAATACTGTGACGAAATTACGACGAGAGCATAAGTCAACAACAGCAAGTGGCAGCAAAATGAGAACTCCTACCAAAGCAAAAAGGCAAAGGAAGGAATATTTCGACGGATTTTCACTAACAGCATTAAGAAATATCATTCATTCAATGTATACGGTGAGAAAAGAAATTCCAACAATGCGCAAAATCTTGGCGGCTGCAAAAGTAGACCCTAATACTGGTAGTGAAACTACATTAAGAAAAATAATTAACAGTGATTTAGGCTACCAATTTAAACGATGTTACCAAAAAAAGACTAGCTCTAATTGAAAGACCCCAAATACAAGCGTGGATGGCTAAATATTTACGCCATATGAAACAAAATGACTCGCTTGGTAGCACCAAACAAAAGACACGTTAATTATCTCGACGAAACGTGGATACACGCGCACTACACAGCAAAAAAATGTTGGCAAACAGCAACCGATGTAGGAGTGAGACGGAACGACAGCCCCGGCCGCCGATGGATAATAGTTCACGCGGGAAGCGAAACTGGCTTTGTTGACAATGCCCTTTTAATGTTTAAGGCAGACACCAAAACGGTCAGTTCCGTCTGCGCACCGCCCCCGAGCGATGGTGCATACAGTTCGTGCTCCGACCTCGTGCGAAGTGCAACTTCTCGCCCGCGCGCCCCGCTCTCCCCGGCTAACACCGGCCGAGCAGACGCCGTTGGTGAGGTCCCTTGTTTTCGCATCGTTCTTGCCCTCACGCTCCGGCGGGGAGGTTTGAGCGCGCTTTGCTTTCATTGTTTTGTTTGTTGTTTTACTTTTAATTGTTCTGTTATTGTTTATTGTTATACTGTTACTTTGTTGTTTGTTACCGTTCTTGCTCTTCTCAGAGCCCTTGTTCTTGTCAGAACATAGGGACCCCAGCTTTTGAGAATAGAGCGTCAGTCCTCCCCATACCATACCCATACCCAAGGCCCTATTCATCTTAGAGCAGGGACCTCTAGATTCTTAGACTAAAATCGTCACCTCCCCTGTCCAAATCATGTCTGCCATAGACATGAGCAATTTCGAGAGCCATTTTATGGCCATGATCGCCCAATTCGTCCAAGCCACAGGCCTACCCATCCAAATCAACGAGATCGCTCTCGTCAACGCTTTTTCTCCCATTGCCCCTAAGGCATGTGTCCCCCCGCCCGCCGTCGCGGCTTTCCCCGCGACCCAAGCGGCTGCCCGACCGACTCGCCCGCGTCCCCCGACTCCGATATGGAGCACTCAGACACCACGTCCGTTACCTCCTCTTCCCGAAAGAGGACCGCCCTCAGCTCCACCGGCTCCTCGGATTCATCCGACTCCGAAGGAACGATAACCGACTCAGCCCAATTCACGCTAGTGAAATCTAAGCGCGGCCCGAAACGCGCCGCGACTTCCCGCACTCCCCCCGCCCCGGCGGCTGCCGCCGCCGCCCGCACACCCGCCGCCGCCGCCAGCACACCCTCCGCCGCTGCCTCTACCTCCGCAGCTCCAACCGTTGCTCCTACTTCCGCAGCCCCAAACGCTGCCGCCTCTCAGTCGAAAGACACTGCCGCCAAGCCAGCAACCCGCTGCGCTCCCAAATTGGCTAAAAACCAAGTCCCGCCCCCTGTCTTTCTCAGAGACAAGGCTAAGTTCACACAGTTATCCAAAACCCTCTACGATCAGGGTTTCAAATATGACCAAGCCACCAATGTCGATGAGGCCATCAAAATCATGCCGGCGTCTATAGAAGACTTCCGGAATATAACCCGTCTCTTCACGGCCGAGCGTGTGTCCTATCACACATATACGCCCTCGCCGAAGAAAGGAAGGTTAAGGCAGTCCTCCGCGGAGTTCCTTATGAACTCGCAAACGAGGACGACCTTAAGTCCCAAGGCTTCCCCATAGAGACTGTGCACAAAATGCACAGCAGCAGGGGCGAAAGATTTAATCTCACCCTCCTCGTTCTCACCAATGTGCCGGAGGCGAAGGCCATCTTCCGCGAGGTACGCACTGTGTGCGGCCTGTCGCATGTAAAGGTCGAAGCCTCACACCGGCGCGGTTACCCAGCGCAGTGCCACCGCTGCCAACTCTATGGGCACGCGGCAGCCAACTGCTCAGCTCCACCCAGGTGCGTTAAGTGCCTAGAACCCCATCACTCGAAAGAGTGCCTTCGGCCCAAAAACGCCGAATCCCCACCCTCATGTGTCCTTTGCGGACAAACAGGCCACCCGGCCAATTTTAGAGGTTGCCCTCGCGCTCCTCGCCCACCTCCGAGCCACAAAGCTCCACCCCAGGTCAATGACCGAACCTTCCCGGCTCTTGTAAGCCGCAAGCCCCGCCAGGGCCAACCCCTACCTCAGCCCCCTCAGGGCTCATCTCAGCCTCTATCGGGCATCTATCGGCCCCCTCAGGGCCCCTATCGTCCACCTCAGGGCCCTCCTCGGCCCCTCATGAGCCTTCCGCTCTCCCAGCCTGCGCCGCTTCCAATAAATCCTTGGTTCCCAAAGGCGTCAAATATCTCGCGGCCCTCCGCCGACCCACAAAAACAGGCAGCCCCTGTAGAAAAAGATCTAAGCCTAGTGTGAGCCTAACACTATGATTAAGATCAATATAGAGGAAGTCTCTATCCTTGCGCGTAAACTGCGCACCGCTCAGTCCCCTCAGGACCGTCTCCTTGCTCTTACTGAGTACGTCAACCTACTAAGGTCTTTGTAATAACACTATGCCGGAGCCCTCTGCTCTCGCAATATCGCACGGTCGTATTAAACCAAAGGGTTTGTCGCTTGTTTCATTCAATATTCGCGTTGACTTGTTCTTCGAGATCGCGAAGCCGACCTCCTCCTCCTTCAGGAGACCCACCTCAGCCCCAAGGTCTCTAAAGGCCTTTCTATTAAAAATTATTCACTTCTGCGTAATGACAGACTCGACAGCAAAGGCGGTGAGGCTTTATTAAAAAAAGTCCCTTTATTGCTCCCACATATCCACTCCGACGC